AGGGTATTGTGTTGAAATTTCAAATAGGTTTGCGGCTTTGGAAAACCTGGAAACTGAGGTGGATGTTAATAAAGCTTGGGAAACCATTAGAGAGAATGTAAAAATGTCTGCCAAAGAGAGTCTAGGTTATTACGAACCGAAGAAGCATAAGCCATGGTTCGATGAAGGATGCTCAGAATTATTAGATCAAAGAAAGCAAGCCAAATTGCTATGGTTACTGGATCCAAGCAAGTTAAATGGGGATAATCTGAACAACATAAGACATGAAACCAGCAGGCATTTCAGGAACAAAAAGAGGGAATATCTGAAAGACAAAATCGATGAGCTTGCAATGAACAGTAAGAACAAGAACATTAGAGACCTATATAGAAGAATAAATGACTTTAAGAAGGGTTATAAGCCTAGCAGTAACTTAGTGAAGGACGAGAACGGTGATCTGCTTGCAGATTCCCACAACATTTTGAATAGGTGGAGGAACTACTTCTCTCAGTTACTGAATGTACATAGGGTTAGTGAAGTTAGGCAGACAGAAATCCATACAGCTGAGCCGTTAATACCTGATCCTAGCCCTTTTGAGGTTGAAAGTGCTATTGCAAATTTGAAAAGGTATAAATCGCCAGGTAGTGATAAATTCCGGCAGAACTTATTCAAACAGGAGGCGAAATATTACGTTCTAAGATCCACAATCTAATTACTTATATTTGGCATAAGGAAAAATTGCCTGATCAGTGGAAGGAGTCTATTATTGTACCAGTTCACAGGAAGGGTGATAAAACTGACTGTAGTAATTATCGGGGGATATCACTGCTATCAACTTCATACAAAATGTTGTTCAATATTCCACTTTCAAGGTTAAGTCCATAGATAGATGAAATTATTGGAGACATCAGTGTGGGTTTCGACGTAACAGATCAACTACAGATTAGATCTTTTGCATTCGTCAGATATTGGAGAAAAATTGGAGTAGGATGAGACAGTACATCAACTATTCATAGACTTCATAGTCTATGATTCACTTAGGAGGGAAGTATTGCACAATATTCTGTTAGACTTTGGGATACCCGTGAAACTAGTTAGGGTGATTAAAATGCGTTTAAACCAAACGTATAGTAAAGTCCGTGTAGGTAAACATTTGTCTGGTAAATTTCCTATCCAGAATCGTCTAAAGCAAAGAGATGCTTTATCGCGACTCCTTTTCAACTTTTCTTTAGAATATGCAATTAGGCAGGTCCAGGGAAACCAGGTGGGACTGAAATTAAATGGGACACATCAGCTGTTGGCCTATGCCGATGATGTGAATCTGCCGGGTGATAATGTAGATACCATAAAAAACACAACTTTAATTGATGCAAAAAATGAGGTTGGTCTAGAAGTGAACAGAGAGAAAACTATATGCTACTGTCTCGTCACCAAAATGCAGGCCAATATCATGACATAAAGATAGGAAACAGATATTTTGAAAATGTGGCACAGTTCAGATATTTGGGAACAACGATACGAAATCAAAACCTGATTCAGGAGGAAATTAAGAGGAGATTGAACTCGGGTAATGCTTGCTACCATTCAGTCAAGAACCTCTCGTCTTCTCGTCTGCTGCCCAAAAATATAAAAATTAGAAAATAGAAAACTATAATTTTGCCTGTGGTTCTGTATGGATGTGAAACTTGGTCTCTGGCATTAAAGGAGGAACATAGACTGAGGGTGTTTGAGAACAGGGTGTTGAGGAGAATATTCGGACCGAAGAGAGATGAAGTGACAGGAGGTTGGAGAAAACTGCATAATGAGGAGCTTCATAACTTGTACTCTTCTCCAAGTATAATTACAATGATCAAGACAAGGAGGATGAGGAGGGCAGGTCATGTAGCATGAATGGGGGAGACGAGGAATGAGTATAGGATATTGGTTGGAAAGTCAGAAGGATAGAGACCACAAGGAAGACAAAGATGAAGGCGTAGATGGGTGGACAATATTAAAATGGATTTTAGAGAGATAGGATGGGATGGTATGGATTGGATAGATCTGGCTCAGGATAGGGACCAGTGGAAGGCTCTTGTGAACACGGTAATGAACTTCGGGTTCCATAAAATGCTGGGAAATTCGTGAGTAGCTGCAGAATTAGTGGCTCCTCCAGAATGGCTCAGCTCCATAAGTAAGTAAGTAAGTAAGTAAGTGGGTGTAGAACGGGGTCCACTCAACCTCATGATGATAATTGAAGAGCGGTTTCAAAGAAATAGCGGCTCCGGTCTAGAAAACCGAAATTAACGACCGTGAGGATCCGTTGCGCTGACCACTCGACGCCCTCTATCCGCTAAAGTTGGCACTAACTTCGCCGAAAAGCGACTGTTGCTCGGTTGGTATAGTTCGCTTGCGGACTAAAGCCACGGAGTTTAGTTTAGAGATGGCTGTAGGGGAGAAGTCAAGCTCAGTGTCTATATAATGACGAAATAAGCCGAAAGTCTTCGTAGTCATTCACTTGATCAGTTTGTCGCTTAATGTGAAGTAATATGAAATGGAATGCAACGTTCCTACACGTTCCGTTCGACCATAAAATTAGGTGGTTGGCTTATATTTTTAATTGGCTCGCATGTAACTTTCAGTTGCTTAAGCATAATCACATTTCACTTACGCTGTTCATTATATTCGGACAATAAAATTTAGGTGCTGTTATCAGAAAACGAACACTCCTTTGGAAACAAGAAGGAATAGTCCACAGTAACCACTATGATGAAACCACGAAAGAATTCTCTTACAAGAAGGAGAAATATATTATTTTCTGAATCAATATCTAATAGTATTTACCCTTAACGATCAAAATTACGTTCGGTCTGTAACAGATTACCTTCAGTTTACATTCATCATCATCAGTAATCTGTCAGACTACAGGTCCACAGTCTCTTCCAAAACAATTCCTCCATTTAATGCGATCTAGAGCTTTCTCCTTCAAATGACAGTATCCTCTTCTGTCCCCAAGGTCATCCAGCATCTTCTTACGTCTTCTTCCTCGTCTTCTTGTCACTTCTATCCGCCCCTCTATCTTTCCTTCGATAACTTCTTTTAGAAGGCAGTTTCTGCGTAAAACATGACCAATCCAATTAACCTTCCGTTTTCTTATTTCGTGTAGGATATTCCTCTGCTCACTGACTCTAATTAACACTTCTTCATTTCTCACATAATCGGTCCAACTGATCTTCTCCATCCTTCTCCAACACCACATTCAGTTTACATTACACCACCAACTTTATCAGGGGGCACGCGGTATCGTAGTTGGTTGAGGCACTGTGCTACAAGCCGAGAGGTCGCGGGTTCGAGTCCCAATGAAGTGATTTTTTTTTTCAATTTACGTAGTCATTCCAGCCGCACTATGGCCCTGGGGTCGACTCAGCCTTTAACAGAAATGAGTACCAGGAATCTTTCTGTGGGATTAAAGGGCGGCCGGCGCGTAAGGCTGACAACCTTACCGCCATCTGTGAGCCGACTGTCTAGAAAATGTGGGACCCTCAACGTCTCACAAACCTATGGGCCTCCATGGTCTGTTAACAAGGATAGCGTTAACTTTTTAACTTTCCCATTTTATAAACCCTAATTTTTGCAAATTTGTTGTTAGATTGTATATACTTGTCACTCCATATAAATAATATAATATTAACATCTGTATCACTGAAATTGTACACAAGTTAGTCACCATTACCGTGAAGTGCGTCGCGTCACGTGATATCTGATGTTTAGAATCGTGGACTCAGCGAGACGCGATAACGCACGCGTTGCCAGCGACATCTTGCCGTTAGGGGGCTGTTTTTTCTTGGCAATTGAAATAAATTTGTTTTATCCACTACTGCTCGGATGATAAAATATAAGGCTCATATGCTGGTGTTTTCTGTGCTTATATGCATAGATAATTTAACCTTCACTTTATATGGAATAGTCCTCTTGGAAATTACACAGTTGATATGAAAAATATAAGCTATACCAATATTTAGCACAGTCATTATTTAAATTAACATTTGAATATTGTAATTTATAGCATTTTATAATTTTCATATTTTAAAGAAGGAATAGTTCGCCATAGTAATGTGTGATGAGAAGATGAATATTTAATTTTAAAATATATATAACGTCCACTATATATATGCATGATGTTCCCCATTCACACCGGAGGGAATTTGGATGATATGCACAACTTACAGTGAGTTACCATTAAAAGAATTAATGAGTAAAGTTATTATTTTCAGAAAAACGAAGACTTCCCAGTACTATTGCAGGAAATAGTCGCGTCTAGCTTGCTAGCCAAGCCAACAAAAATTTGATTGAGTTGCATTGTGTGTGCTAATTTCTCTGTTGATTGAACAAGTAAATAAAATTCCAGCTCAAGTATTTAAGAATAGCATTACAGTAACGCGAGGCCATCTGCAGTTGCCTGCTCACTTTGAAAGCAGTTCCTGCTTATTGTTGATGTCAGAAACACACCACAAATTAGTGTTCTATGAATCTTGCAGTTACTATTGATTGTGCCTTGTTATAACGATGGTTTAATTGTTTGTATATTACTTCTTAAGAGTACTCTCAAACTTAAACGTTTTCTTTGTTTCTCTTTAAATAGAATGCTTTCGTGAGGTGGGGTAAATATTGGAGTGGAATTGATGCCGAGGTCTGGTGTAGTACATATTAAGCCAGTTTTACATACATGTATCGATGTGGGTATTCTGATGCATCCAATACTTCTGATGAATAGAATTTTGTGTTCTTTTTTAAGTATGTTAGAGTGGCATTTGGTCGAGAATTGAGATTGTTTACGAGGATACCGTAACTTGCTGTACACGTGTAAGCAAATAACGCACAAATCCCAACCACATGGACATGTGTGTTGTTGGAAGGCAATTCCAAAGTTTACAAAATTTGTTGTAGCATAAAAGAAAAATGTTGATTTATGTCATGATTGTCTAGTTTTTTTATTAACGAATACAAGAATATGTTGTATATCTTCTTGGTTTTCTCTTCCCTAGTCCGCCAATATGTCAGTGGAGCTGGAGAGAGTATGCCCTGTACGTGAGTGAATCTGTTTGTTTTTAACATTAGGATCTGCCTTCCTATTAGAATAGTGGTCTTCATCAAGGTGCAACTCCTTGTGCTGGATTTGGAATCAGGGCCTAGCCCTGTAATTCTTTGTTCGCTACTAACTCTCCTCTGCGCACATGCGCAGAGCCTGCTTGCCTGTCTGATTGCCTGCCTTCACACGTTTGTGATTGTTGATCTAAGAAAATAGAGTTATATTTGGAGACCACTGCTCTAGTTCTGACCCAAGTAATATAAGCTCTTTCTAAACCACTTGCAGCTTAAAATTTTACATAGCGGACCCATAGTGCACGCAAAGGTTTGGTTTTTAACTTGAGTTTTTTTAGCAGTAGTTTAATCTAATATTTTGAAAACACACTAAAACCAGAACTAGTTTGGGTCGAGGAAGATTTCCCTTGCTGCAGTGCTGGTGTGGGCACAAGCACGCGAGCGCACGCCCTTGCCTGCTCACGCCCTCTCCTTCCACCCATCTGTCTGCTAACCGTGTGTGTGTGGTGGGTGTTTTGTATTTGCAGTGAATCCGTTTCAAGATAAATGAGTCCCAAAATTTTTTTTTACGTTTCATTATGTAAATTTCTTTACGTACAATTTGCAATGACGTGTAATTTAGATAATTAGCACATTGCTTGGCAAGTGTAGTATTTCTCTATTAAGACGTCACTTTTCCCTGAAAACGTCACTTGTCGTGTATAGAGAAGGCGATTTATTTATTTCTGCCATGGCTTTGTATGAACACCAGGCCTCGCTTCACGCTCTGGGAGATGGGTTCCGAACTCTTATACTGTTCATAAAAATATGCTATGGATTTTAGAGAAAGACTTTTTTTTTCGCTTAAGTAATAAGATAATTGTTAAACCCGCTCGGTTTCCTACCTCTAATATAATATTCGAAAGGATAAAGCCATCGGCCATAAGGATCGTGTTTGTAATTGATGAATTTTACCTGTATGGCTTGGTCCTTGGAGATGGGCGGGCTACAGACAGAGGCAACGTGAAGGCATCCTTCAAATGAAGAGCTCATTGTAAATGATACGGTATATCCCTCTGATGTACCACTGCACCCACCTGTATGGCCCAGGAACTGTTTTTCTAGTGCCTATTTTGATAGTCTCCCTGTCCAGGACTTGGAGCGTGTGTGCCACACAGATTCCCCGATGAACTCAGGGCCACTCCCTCCCCCTGGTGTTCATAATCATGGCAGAAGAGTATTTAGCAGGCACACGCTCGGATGAAGGAGACTGAAGGGCGCGGAGGGTCACGGCAGGTGGCGATCCAGCGCCTAGGCATGTCACGTGATACAGATCCTTGTTGCAGGTCTGTCGAAAGGAGTTGGCTTCATCAGGTTCGACCAACGCATTGAGGCGGAACGAGCCATCCAGGAGCTGAATGGAACCATTCCAAAGGGCTCCACCGAGCCGATCACCGTCAAGTTTGCTAATAATCCGAGTAATAACAACAAGGCCATCCCACCCCTTGCAGCATATTTGGCACCCCAAGCTCGACGTTTCGGCGGACCGATCCACCACCCAACGGGGCGCTTCAGGTACATTCCACTGTCACCACTCTCCAGGTACTTGGCTTTCCCAGCTGTCGTTACTTTCCTTTTGGAGACTTTCTTTTTGTTCGATTTATTAGTTTCACATGTTCATTTTCATTGAGAAGTTTTGTTCTTGGTTAGTAGTTTTATGTGACTTGTATGCTTCACTCTTTTTCAAGTGTCCCGTTTGCGTGGAAAGGTATGACCATCTAGAAGAGCTTTGTACTGTGGCAGGGTTAGCTTTGTAATATTCCCTTTAGATAGCATTGTACTAATTTAGCCTTCTAAAAGAAAGTTCATAGTCCTTGCGATTAATCCTATCCTTTAGGAGAGTTACTGTTTGTTATCTGTGTAAATTGAAGGAAAATTGTGGATGATATTTCCACCGACTGTGCGAATCAGTTGTAGGCCTAGTTCTCTTCTTTCCTTTTCCACATATCACGTGATTGTATTTGCTACATTGGCCTGCCTTTCCACCAAGCAGCCCGTATGGACTGCCGCTGTGGCCCGATGCAAGAGATTGGTAAGTAACAGCAGTGACGCGCTGCTCTGCGTTGCGTAACGTTACGTTTTGTTACGTTACGTTACGCTAGCTCCAAAGCACCATAACAATAAGACTCATGTTCCGTTCAGTTGAGTTAATGTGATTCAATGCATGAGTAGGAATTCCCGAGGGCTACGGCCCGACGGATGTTGAGATACGAGCAGGAGTCCAAGTCACCTTGGACCCCATAGCCTGTATCTTCCATACAGTCAATCGCTAACCAAGGTAAAGGACCAAGGCCCTATTACCTGCCATTTTTCGGATTTTTATTTGCATCCCTTCCCTTCACTACCCAAAATTCTGCTTTGTAGTTTCATAGCATGAAGTAAAAATGCTTGCTTTACCTTGTTTCGTTTGATACGGATTTCCGCTCGGGAGACAGGCAACACACCAAACCAATAAATAGAAAATAGCCTGCCTCTGCTTCTGTAGACGCCTGCCTTTGAACCTTTATTCCGGCTTCTTTGTTTTACAATTTTTGTTTCATTTAGAACTGGGGAATTAAAACTGTGGTGTACAGATTTTGTTTTTTTATCTTTAAGTATAGTCTTAAACTTAGTGAAGTTGGTGTTTAAATATTGCAAGCATTTGTGATCAACATGAATGTATTACATATCTGACGTAACATTAGTGTTGCTGCCTGAGAACAGGGAACATTCTGTAAAAGAGAAATAAATTTCCAACATGAATAAAATTATTTTAAAGCTATATTGTATATTTTGCCTGTTTGTGACTCTTGAAATTTTAGTATGGCTGCTAAAACTTTGCATTTTATATTCTTTTTCTTATATTCTAGGCGATTTCAAATTTGTCTGCATTCGCTGTTCGATCTATTCGAATTGAACCCAATGTCCAGAATTATGTTTCTAGCTTTTCTTGTTCTGGGATCATATCTAAGTGATTTCCTGTTTAATTTAGACTTATCTTCTGAGCTTCATATTTAATCAACTTGCTGTTTAATTTTCTTATGTTTGTTTCTGTATTTTGTTTTAGCACTGGCAAGACCATGCTAGCCATAAACAAAGGCTTACAGAGGTCAGTATTATCGAGTTCATACAATCATATTACAGTACTTCTTTCGTTCGGTGTTTGTTTAGCAGTTCTATGTGACTGGAGCATGCCGTCCATGTTTTGTTCTGTATGTTAAGTTTTGTCCCGTACCCCACTGGTCGCCAGACATCCAGCGCCACAGCCAATCAACGTCTTCTGTCTTTCACTCTTTAGGTTCTCCGAACCGAGCCAGTAAAGATACATCTCAATTGATGAAGAAATTAAATCTGGAAAAATAGCTTAATCCAGATAAACTCTGCAGGCATTGGAATGTGTATTGTGTATAGGCCATGATGTTAGTGCGTAGAACAAACCCAGTGTTTCCCACCCTGGCCTGATCTAAGAAATGATTTTTTCCACAGAATGTGCTTTGCAGTAGTAGTTTCTGTATGAATATATTACTATGCTGAGTAAAGCATTGCTTCAACGCTGCAAGATCGGTAACATAATCACGGTATAATTATCCCCCTGGTCAAATGGATTTATGGTGGACAAAGTGGCGCTCGGGCAGGTTTTCTCCGAGTACTTCGGTTTCCTCTGCCAATCTTCATTCCACCAAATTCTCCACAATCACCCTCGCCTATCATCTGGGGCTGGTACAATAGGCCAGAAGTGGCCGCAGTACAAGGGACTTAGTCCCACCCCACTAGCAATAAAAAAGTCCCCTTCTCCTTAAGCAGTGCTTTCTGTCGTCATGTTCTCTGAAATCTCTTTGAGTTTTCCTGTCAGCTTTCACGTGGATCGACTCAGCCGCTGTCCTATCTGTCAGTCTATTTTTGCATACTCTCGAGGTGCAACATATATCTATCTACGGCTCTGCAGCCCTTGTGGGTCTTGGCCGCTTTTTCAGTTTCTTAAACTGTACACAATCGGTAGGACTCCTTGGACGGGGAATCAGTCCATAGCAACGCCGTTATCGAACACAAACCCAGAATAAACGCACACAGATATCCATACCTTGAGTGGGATTCGAACCCACGATCTCAGTGCTTGAGCGGTCGACAATGGTTGATACTTTAGACCGCGCGGTCACTGGGATTCGCTGAGGTGCACTGTCAGAATTTTACATCTTGTACGCCCCTTTAGTGCCCCCCCCTCTTTATACACACATTTGGCAGTATATTCATTTCTACAGCTTTTAATCTGCGATCACTTTTATTTTGTGTCATTGTCTGTTGTCCTCTTCTGTCTTGCTGCTTTACGACCGTCCCTTTTGTTGTCACTGAAGCTGATCGCTCTATATTTTCCTCCTTACCCTCCCGGTTAATTTGCACAATGTCTTCTGTGCATTCATCATAGAATCTCTTCCGCGATCATGTTTATCATTAACACCCACTGGAACACAATTGAATTAAGCGTTCTGTATTCCCTCTAATTGACAAACTCCGTGACTTGTAGTCCACAAGCGAACTATACCGACCGAACGACCGCCGCTTGTCATTGAATTTAGTGCCAACTTTAGCGGATAGAGGGTGTGACGTGGTCAGCGCAGTTGATCCCTACAGCCGTTAATTTCAGTTTTCAAGATCGGAGTTGCTATTTCCTTGAAATATGTCCTCAGTTATCCTTACGAGGCTGAGTGGACCCCGTTCCAGACCCACTACTTCTCAGAAAATCTGGTAGAGCCGGAAATCGAGCCCGGACCTCTGGTTCTGTAGGCAGGAACTCTGACCACTAGACCACAGAGGCGGTCGACAATAGTCAATGAAAATATTTCTTCTTCGATCTGGTCGGTCGTGTTCCTTGCCTCTTTCCTGTCGACAGACGCCTTACTCACTCACTTTTGCATTTCCTCTCCGCGCATTTTTACGTATTTTTACGCATACACTCAAATATGAAGTTCGCTTTGCATCCACGTCCATGGACAGCTTCCGCACTATTTCTGACCAAACATTAAGGCAAGAACTTGCCAATAAACATCTGATGGTGGATCATGAACCGCGCCTTAACATATTCNCTTTTGCATTTCCTCTCCGCGCATTTTTACGTATTTTTACGCATACGCTCAAATATAAAGTTCGCTTTGCATCCACGTCCATGGACAGCTTCCGCACCATTTCTGACCAAACATTAAGGCAAGAACTTGCCAGTATACATCTGATGGTGGATTAGATCTACTCGGTTGTTCTACCTCTTTGCAATCAGAATGTAGACACTTTTCCTACTCAGGTTATCATTATCAGTCAAATTGGGTCTATTTCAGCTTTCCTGTCTACGTTCTGAACCCAGGCTTATGCAATTATGAAGTTCCACATTTGACGAACTGACCTTCTCCATTGCTCGTGCATATGTCTGCTCTCGTTAGCTTCCTTTGTAATGTCTGCTGCTGAGTGGTTCATTGTGCATTCTGGTACTGGCCTCTTTCAGTACTCATGTACGTCACATCTGAAATCCTGCCGATATTCATGTTCTGCTACTGTTCTGCCGGCGCTCATATCCGATATCCGTCTCAGCTTCTGCCGATAGGTACCCCTCACTACACTCTTCCTTCTTTTCCCGATCGCGAAAGTTTACTTTTTCATTAACGATCAGCTACTCGCTCCATCTTACCATTTCAAACAGAATATCTGAGAATTAATTTTCCACGTTTTCTTTTTGCCTGTCAGCATTCTTACGTACCCATTCCCTTCAGTGGATCGTGTACTTTTTCTTTCCTCATGGCGGTCTCTGCCCAAATTTTCAATTAATTTTTATGCGATACGTTGGAGTCTTACAAGAAGTCTATATACAAGTATAAAGGACAAGCTGAGACAGCATGTCCATCAATCCGTCTGCATCATCACTTGTTTCATGTTCGAAATTACTCAAATAGTTCTAGTCTTCCGGTATTGGGTTCGCAGTTAGAGATATCTACAAGAATAAGATTGTATTTTACACAGAACCAGTGTAGCCCGTGCCTTAAGAATAACTACAAAATTCCTTAAAAAACGATGCCGTCTTACCAAAGAGACTTGAGATAAATCACAGCTTCTATTTTCAATAACTATCAACGTAATATACACTTGACACATTTACGCCAAATTAAATTGCAAAGTGTTGTTCTCTTTGCAATGTTATATCTGATACAATAGGAAAATTTACTTTGCGATATATTATTACGACGCTACCAACACCTTCGCCCTTAAAAATAGGTGAAGTTATCCCTGTAGCAGTCCGTCAAGGCTCATAGGGTTGTGAGAGATAGAGTCTCCCACATTTTCTAGGCAGTCGAATCACAGATGGCGGTAGGGATGGCAGCCCTTACGCGCCTGCCGTCCTTTACCTCCAGGAAGATTCCTGGTACTCATTTCTGTTAGAGGCTGAGTCGACCCCAGTGCCACAGTGCGGCCGGAAGGATTAGGTCAATTGAAAAAATCCACCTCATCTGGACTCGAAAACGCGAACTTTCGGTTTGCAGCATAGTGTCTCAAGCAACTAAGCTACCACATACCCCACACGTTCGCCCTTCAGCTTTCACCTTCCTCCGCTGACGAACCACCCCACCTCATGGCTGAGAGCGGTATCTCTTCTCAGTTGACCAAATTTTTTCTTCTTCTGTAACACTGATTATCATGTTCTTCTCTTGCTCTGATCGACATTTACAGCATTTCATCAGTCCATAAAGAGTTATACTGCCCGTGCCTTTCGGTACACACTGCCTATTTCTCCGGTTAAGGGACACGTCAACACATTTCACTGTTCTTTGAATGAACGCGTTAGTTATCTGTGAGTATCTATAGATATAACAACTGTCTGTTCTCTGTGCATGCACGTCATAATGAAATTACTTCCGAGCGTGACACGTAAACCAGAATCTTCGATGTGGAGGCCAGTTCTTCTACTTTTTGTTGCCTTGATACGAAGTTCGAGATCGACTGTGTACATTTGCCACGACTGCCTCAGCCGTTTCCATCCCCGAGACCCGACCTGCTTGCAGTTCATGGTCACCCATACAGAAGCCCAACCTAAGTAACAAATGCCTCGTCTCTTTCAACATGTTCGTTACATATTCCCCATTCCACACATAATACCTTAGTAAATATGTTTAAAGGCATTTTTTTCTCTTTCCAGCCAACACATTCTTAGAAAAACAATTCGACATCAGGCCAGAATAGAGCATTTTCATCGATTTTCGGCTGACTTCCGCCTCTTTTGTGATTCTCTCTTCTCAGCTTTTTTCACGGTTCTTTTCCAATTGAATTGTATATCCAGACAGCACTTGTCAGCTTTGTGAATTGTGACAATCTTCAAACATCAACAGATGGGCACATTACTCTCACCGAAGTGAGCACCCATCTTCGGACCACCTTCCGTGTTGACTCTCATCCCGTCATCCAATTTCCTGCTCCAGTTATCCGTTGCTTTAGTTCCTTAACCTCATCTACCTTTCCGTAAAGTGTCCCCCTTTCCTTAACCAGGCCTCACTTACTCCCTGACTTCCAATGAGGAGCCCATTCCCTTCGCATGCATTAGCCAATCACTGTCACTCTTCCTATCAGACCGGCGAGTTTCCCACCTCTTCCCGCGGTCCTTTCCACTGCCACAATATATGTACATCTCCAGTTACCCACCACAATTCCGACGTGTGTAGAGAGAGCCTCATATGTACAGTTGAGGCACACTGGAATAACAAACCAGACGAGGATGTTATGGCCGTCCTGTTCTTTCCCAATTCTTATCCAATCTGATTGTTCTAGGACATGAGGTAAGCTCGTGCATTCAATCTGGACGGTTTGGCATTGTAGGTATTCACCATTGGCCGGTGATCTCCTGGCCAACTCAATGCTCCCAGGGAATGCCATGAACGGTTCTGGCTGGTGTATCTTCGTATACAACCTCGCTCCTGAGACGGAAGAGAACGTCTTGTGGCAACTGTTCGGGCCCTTCGGTGCGGTGCAGAGTGTAAAAGTCATTCGAGACCTGCAGACCAACAAGTGCAAAGGGTTTGGATTTGTTACGATGACCAATTATGATGAGGCCGTCGTTGCAATCCAGTCATTGAATGGCTACACTCTGGGCAATCGCGTCTTGCAGGTTTCCTTCAAAACCAACAAGAGTAAAGCTACATAAATGTTGAAGAAGAAACTGTTACGGACCGCCGCCATATTGGCAGTGCGGTTGTTAATGTGACCATGCTAGTCAACTGAGGCTGCATTTGTCTCCATATTCTCTCTACGTACGTAATTTATCAGGATGCAATAATCTTGAGAAAACAGCTTTTGCTGGGAAATATGAAGATATATGTCCCATGCTCCGTATCTCAGACTGTAGCAAGTACAGTCATGTTCGTATCCCCTTGCAAACTTCCCCCCATTGTTCCGAGACAAATGCAGCCTTCAGAAGAGGTATATCTTTCCATTTGTACTGTCGTACAATTATGAGCAGTACATTAATTATAATCTGGATCATACTGAGCCAAACAATGAGCTAGTCAACAACAATAGTGCAAGTCTTGTACACCCAGAAGGGAGTCCTCAAAATCTTGACTTTTTTGTTCTGTTATGTGTTACTAGTCATGGAGATGTTGCCGTAACCGTGGGGGGGAGCCACTCCAGAGCTACCCCCCATGGACAATATAACGGCTATTTTCTTTCAGTAGATATTGCAAAGTTTCTTTTGTTTTTGTGGGTGTGATAACAGTAAACTTATTTATTTATTTATGTATAACACAATCTAAAACTTTTATGATACTTGAATCCTTCTGTTCATGTAGTTTTCGTTTAGTCACTTGACAAAGTATGTGATTAACACTGCATATATAATTATGATTATTATTATTATTATCATTATTATTATTTTATTGTCACAAGCAGAGGCGCAGCATACAGTCACCTTAAATATCTTATTATGAGTTGATACACACACACACATGCATGTGACAATGGAACTGACTTCTTTTGGCATAAGTGCAACGTTTATGGAGGTATTATTTATAAATTAGTTTGAGTTTTCAGAACAATTAAACAAGTTGTTTTGTGTTGACCACTTTTTATTTCGTTTCATTTGCTTAAGATGCAATCCTGACAAGTTTTCCACAACCCAGCTACTAACACACTGCATTCACTGGCTTGTGTTTCCTTTATCCTTGGTTATTTCTTTCTGTTCTGCCATCCAACGAAAATCTCAGGCAACGTGAAAACTTGCAATTGAGTTCTATTTTATTATTAGTATTATTATTACTATTATTATGATTTGAAAGGTTTTGGGGGAACCACACAGACTTGCACAGAACAATAATCCATAATTAAATAAATAACTAATATAAATAAAGAAAATAAATCAGGTAACCTATCAAATATGCTGCCCAAATATGCTGTCAACTTCCATGAAAGAAATTTATTTTTGTAAGAACACTTATCAAATTTAACAAATGCATTCCTAGTGGGCAAAAGATTTTAAATGAAAGACATGAAAAAAGTATGCAGAAATTTAAATATCTAACGAAGGAGACTTTGTTATCTCTTCGTGTTCTTAAAGTTTCTATAGTGTCAGATAGTTCCCTTTGCGATAGGAGTTTCTGAGCTAGGTGAGCTTGTACGGGCATCGGGCACTCCTTCACTTCTCCGTTCCCTACCTAACTAGGCTGGCGAGCGAGCATTTCTGCTTACACGCTCGGTGGCCAAGTTGTTATTGCTCTGTCTTTCTACTTTGACTTCCTCGGTGGACTGAAATGTGCTTGTCTATTGTGGGTGGGGTACTGCAGCTGCCCCCTCACACGTAGTCTACCAAAATATTTATTACTTCAGTAACACGTGTAATCGCAAGCAATACACTGGATACCGAGTGAGTCTAGCCACTTGCACCACTGCGTAGCAAGCCAATGTCAATACCCGCTCGCTGGCCATATGTTCGATCCCTGTAGATGGCCCGATTGACCGACCGAGGTTACAGTGGAAGGAATCAGGACTCATGCAATATGTCAGGAGTTTTTGAATACAAAATTTTGATGGACTTTATCTTTCATGGTCACAATGGTGAAGATTTAAAAATGAAAAATGTATATATATTATACTTTGCCTGAGATTAGGAAAGAGATAGAGAAACCTTTTTGATAAGAAAACTTTATCATGCTGTTGAGGATAAGAGTTTAACTACAAAAGAGTAGATTATTAACTGAAAGTTCAGGAAACTCAATGCACTTTTTCAATGTTACTTGCCCCTTGATAAATCAACGAAGAAAGATGTACATTTAGTGTTACTTGTGAACATTCCTTGATAAATTTCTCACAGTTTGGCCCTTTATATAGTTAATGCCAATATAATTGCTTATGTGAGATCTATTATAGTTGCTAACTATGTTAAATTTCTGAAGAAACCAAGGGCCATATTTCTAAATGGTAATATTAGGCTTGGTTTTTGCAGCCATTAGCGTTTTGCCCCTTTAGAGACTGCAACGCCACCTTAGATTTAAAGTGGAATATTTTGTATGATACTCAAAACAATGGTGCATACATCTGTTAAGTTCTATGGAAAATGTACAGAGAGCTATTTCCATGAGGACAAATGAAGTACTGGAACCCAAATGTGATGGATGAAGCTACATATAGATAGTGATTCATAAAAGAGGTTCCAAGTGTATTTTGGGTTGTGGAGACTAGTTTTGAAAACTGCTTCTGCATTTATCAAGATTGTGATTGATACCTGTTCTACAATTAAAAGTATAAATAACTTTTGAAGCTTTATAGAACTCATTCACCTACTTAACGGATGCAATTTTGCCAAAGTGGTACTGACTTAATGTGGAAAACAAATGAGTTTGTTAACTTTGGTATTTTCCTCATTCCTCATACATAGTGGTTTGCTTGATTATATATTTAAATACTCTTTCTTAAATATTAATTATTCTTATCCTTTTTATCTAGAAGCAAGGCCAGTCAATTGCAGTCTATTTGACATGAGATTAAACAGAGGATACAGTGACAAGTTGATGTAACAGAGTGATCTCTGGAGAACAAAGCACAAACTATATGTTGGTTTATATGTGGCTTGTAGGACAAGACATGTGTTGGGAAACTGACTCTTAACTGGCCTAATACAAAATATATATATATACATAAAAATAAAAATGAGACAAATATATACTGCATTTGAAGGCTGTTGCTGGTACTCTAGGACTTGTATTCAACTTTGTGTGGTGTAGATCTAGTTTGTAAAACTTGATTTCTGAGGGCCAGACTCATGCTGTAAGGATGTATCCTCATTTTCCAGCACTGGACAATATGCTCTGGTGTAGGACTGAAACATTTTGTGACTAAGCATTCCATAAACTTTTATAGAAGAGACAGGGGGTTTCTGTAATGCAGTACCTCAAACATGTAATTGATGCAATAACTTATGAAGTTCTTAAAAGTGTAGCTTTAGATCGAGTGACGAACATATTAGATGCACAGAAGACTGGTCCGAAAGGAAGCCTTCCTTCTAGTCGAAGGTTTGCTCTCAGACCATGATATGATGCACCAGTTTCCTATATTTTATTCCCTGCTCACTGAAGTAACAAAACTAACTTTATGAATCTCATTTTAGTATTTTGTGAAGTATTTGTTACTTCGTTTGTGAGCGGCCATTCTGGTTACATACTCCTCACCTCTCCCCATAGTTGTAGTCCTTCCCTCCTTGCATACTATAGTATATACAGTGGGCTGACAGGTAATGCTTTGAGCGCAAGGACTTTTGAAACAAGTGAGTTTGGTCTGTTAAGTACAGTAATTTCTCTATGCTAAACGTTATGTCACTGTTGGACCGCGGTCCACAGAGGAGAGTCGCGCCGCCGCTGCTTCTATCTCGCAGTGCATGTCTTTATTGCTTCTGTCTAGTGTCACATTGCATTTAGGTGTACGTATTGATGGGTTGTATTTATCCAATGAAATGATTCACTACTTAAATGATTTTTCATCTAGTTGTAGGTTTATATGGGTAGTTCAGGAAACGTTCTGAGTGTCAGGTGCCATATTTCTAGTTTGAGTATCTTAGCCAAGTGGTGAGAAGGAAGAATTTGTCAGCACTAGAGGTAGAGCTTTTACCTTAGTTGTCTTTGTGTTTGCTGTAATTTATTGTATAACTTATTATAACACAGGATAATGGGTTGGACTTTGGTTATCTTTTGAGTTCCAGGAAAAGGAAATAGCCAAAGGAAGATGCAAGGGAATTTGAGTTTGAAAAGTTAATCAGAAAAGCTGGAAAGATTGCTAACTAGAATGGCCAAATTCTATCCCATTTAATTTATTGTATTTATTGTTAAGTGTAAGAGACTAGTCAGTTTAAACATTTTGTTTCTGCAGTACTTTTGTGATTGAGTTGAAAGTCCAAGACATAACATTATGCTATGCTGCAGCCATTTCATCCCAAGGATCTCTTGTGATTGTGAGTCAGGCAGTAGCCAGTTGGTATTGTGTAAGAAGGCAGAGCGACAGCTGTTGTTATCGTTAGTTTTGGTTGTATTGCAATATTTGTACTTTTCCATGTTGAAAACTCAATACAATAAATTATTGGAAAATACTCTTTATTAATTTACAGCTTTACAATTTACTGGACTTTTGATTTGCAGCTTGACCACCCATCAGCCTGGGCACCATGCACACCAAGATTCATGATTTGCCAGTTTCCTCTTCTAAGGAAGAGGCAACTCCCAGTGTTGTTAACCAAACAGTAAAACTGTTCGATGTAACTGGGAGCAAGGCATCCTTGGTGTGAAATGAGTCGAATGCAGTTAACTAGATTGAAAAGTCAAGGAATATCATACATAGGCCTAGTCTATGTATATTGGTTTTGTTCTTGATTTTACGTTAACGTTTCTCTCTGTCTCTCAACTCCTTACCTGAAAATACTGTCAGATTTACTCTACAATTTTTAGACTTATTATACTCATTGTCAAGGCAGTGGCATTTCTAGTCATCTTTCTTAGTCTCTCTCTATTTTTCCATGTTTACATCAATTGTTACAACTTGTTCAATTTTGTAAGCAAGGAATATATTATTGCCTATACGTAATCATATTTTAATAAATTAGTGTTGGACTAAGTGTTAAGTGTCATGTAATTCACACATTCCTTACTGTCCAGGTGGCAGCAGCTGTCTGGATATCTAGTATTGACTTTAAGGAACACCTTCTGACTCAAAAGTATATGTGGATAAAAGTACGCCAAATTTTGGGGAAAATAGGAGAGGGAATTGTATTTGGAAAAGTTAAGAAGAAAAATACAGAATTACGTCAACATTCGGGTAATTCCACATCGAGAAATGAAACTTCGTGATATGTGCTAGAAGCAATGGGAGTTTGGGTCTTCGAATTGGAAATATATATAGATTTACTTAATTGTCTAATTATTGTTGGCTTTGTGTGTCACATTCATAACATTTTTCAAACTACGGTTTGGGGGAGAGGAAAAGGGAATGACCCCAATTCAATATCTGAAAACTACTTTTTATAATAACACAGGAGCTATGGGTCTACATACTCTGATGAAGTTTCTGTAAAACAATATTAACTAATATTTGTTATTGTAACAAAACCGATGCCATCAGAGAACGTGACACTGAATTTTCCGGTTAGAACCTCGTTCTTTGTGCTGTCTTCTAATAAAAAACTTCGTGGCCTAGTCCGCAAGCGAACTGTACCGACCAAGCGGTGAAGTTAATACCAACTTTTTGCTGATAGAGGGTGTCACATGGTCAGCACAACGGATCCCCACAGCCGTTAATCTCGGTTTTCTAGACCGGAGCCGCTATTTCCTTGAAATATTTCCTCAATTATCCTCACGAGCCTGAGTGGACCCCGTTTCAGACCAACTACTTCTCAGAAAATCTGGTATCGCCGGGAATAGAACCCAGGACCTCTGACAACTAGACCACAGAGGCGATCCCTGTCTTCTAATTTTACATGTGAAAAGAACGATATTCATCACATAGAGACAAAAGAGTTAATACAATTAATCTATAACATTATGGTTGCGTTTATGTCTTATCCATTGTAAAAAGGGGTTTCGGCAGCTGAGTATAGATGCGCCCAGCAAATTCGTCGTTCGCCAAACTTCTTTAAAAAATGAGGGACAGGGTCTCTCTCTCCCTCTCTCTCTCTAGAGACGATGGCACTGAACTGAGAAAATGACGGTTAGACAATCGGATGAGGATACTGTCCTGTTCCCACACACTCATAAACAACATGCTTTCATTATACCATACTGTTAGTACTTCTGCTGCTGCTGCTACTACTACTACTACTACTACTACTACTACTACTACTACTACTACTACTTTTTAATTTGCTTTTCCAGCCCATTCAGGGCCCTGGCATCTTATTGATTGCGTAATCATTTTTCACAGACGGTAGGACGCCTTGGACGTGTGATCAGCCCGTCGCAGGGCCGCTACCTAAACATAGGACAACACAGGCACAGAATAAACGCATACACACAAAATATCCATGCCTTGAGTGAGATTCGAAACCACGATCCCAGCGTCCGAGCGAGTGAAGACCGTTCTTGCTTTAGACCGCTCTGTTACCTCGACTGGCCACCACAAATACTACTTTTTTTTCCTTGACACTACAGCCCCAGTGGGCCTAGGCTTACCTCCATGAACTTCTCCGTTAACTTCGGTTTTTCTAGATCTTACACATTCGGTAGGACTCCTTGGGCGGGTGATCAGCTCGTCGCAAGGCCTCTACCTGTACACAAAAACAGTAAAACGCACACACACAAACTAAACATCCATGCCCTGAGTGGGATTCGAACCCACGATCCCGGTTTCCAAGCGAGCGAAGAGAGAACATGCCTTAGACCGCTCGGCTACTGTGACCGGCACTAATACTACTACTACTAGTAGTAGTAATAATAATAATACTAATAAAACTAATAGTGCTGCTGCTACTCGTAATGTCACTACAACTATCGCCCTAACTTCTACTACCACCACCACCACCACCACCACCACTACTGCTAAATGCCGATCTACAGGTGAGTTACTTTTGGAGAATATCCTATGTATACAGCTCTCGTGTCACGTGACATTACAACTAAGTTTTCTGTGTTGAAATATGTGACACTCCTCAGCTAGTCAGTGTCTCTTGTAGAGTCATATTTACGGAAATTCATCTCAGCGATCTATGTCACTCATTCTCATTTTGTAAATTAGAGATTCAGTCTGTATTCGTGGTTCCGCCCTACTCGTAAGGTGAAACAGTGTTCTACGTAAAAATCTCCATATTTTGCACTTGTTCATACGTGGGTGTATTCCAACAAGATATTTAAATCTCCGTACATCTTATGTCATGAATGTGAGATCTTAGAGAACCTTAAATATTGTGACGTATTTGCGCTGTGCAGGACACCCCCTCCCCCGCCAGCGGTGATGTAACACCTTCGGAGCGTTGCCGTTGCTACGGTAATAGGCCAGTCAACACCCCGCCCCCTCCCACGGTGACGTGACCAAGGGATGCCACGGTTGCTATGCAGCAGTAAACAACTCCCCTCAACGTTGCTAGGCTATCGGCAAACACGGCGTCAGGCAATAGCGGTACCTATGACGTAACTGTTTTCTGTCTTGTCCGTGCCGAGGCTAAATAATGAGCAGCGAGTTTTGTGATCAGGTGACACAGTGCGGGTCGTGAACACGGAAAGACGAATACCGGAACGCGTGATAATCAGTGATAGTCTGTGATAGCTGAGAAGGTATTGGGAGTGTGTAATACAGTGGCACTGGTATAGCTCCCGTATCGTGCTGTGAATACGTGTAGACTACTGAGGACGGAGTGGACAGATTATTGTGTAGGGTTGTAAATTGTGTAAACCAGTAACATTGTTATAGGTAATTGTAGCCGAGACTTGTAGGTTGTTAAGTAAACCAATTAACAATCTGAACGGCGTCTTCAGTGGCAAAACACGTTACAATATATTTAATGTGTATAAATGTACATAAGGTATGCCGTCCACAAAACAATATTCTGTGTTTAAAAACAAAGACACTACTGTATCAACATTTGTTTATATTTGATTTTACAAACGCAACATGTTTCGACCCTTATACCAGGCCATCATCAGGCGTACAATGCTCAAGCTTCAGCTGTTGAATTGCAGTTAATTTTTATTTAATTTTTCAAATAAGGATCCTTATTATGTCTTGAAATTATTTAAATGAATAAATTCATAAACTGAGTCTATTTGGTCAAAACGTAAAATCTTAAATGCTTAGATAATAAAATTTAATTTAGTAAAATTGAAGATATAAAGGTTAAAATTAGAAACTAAAGATGAAAACATGGAAGTTAAAATTGTACAAAAATGGAATAGAAATGTTTTTTTTTTGTGAAGCAACTCTGCGACCGCTACGTGTTGACCTTATTTTATGACGGTAGAAGCGACTATAGCGTGGGGTAGGTCGTGTAGTCATGACCTTAGTAAAGTCTTACGGAGCTTATGATCCGTATATATTTTGGCGTGCTGCCTGAAAGACAGACTAATACGTCCATCACTAGTCAACGGCTAGCAATTCCTAGGCAGCCATGCCTAGGAAATGGTTGCCTCAGAGATAAAAGCCTAACAGTGGGGTTTCTACCGTTATTTGTAATGAAATGTATTCCCGCGGAAACAGGAGATTCGTTGCATAGCAACGGGCGAAATTAATCCTTCGACAAGGTTTTCCCTATTCAGTCCGAGTGCAGGATATAACAGTTCTTATTCGACAAGAGAACAGTCAGTTCGTATCCGACGAGAGCTAAGGACAGTTGAGCTCCGAGCAGAGCAGAAGGCACTTCACCGAGAATAGCGGTGCAAGAGGGTTCTAACATTGAAGAAGAAACATCCGAAGACCTTATAAGAGTCAATAATTGTATTTGTGAGTGTAAAGAGTGATTGTCCAATAAATATTCGCCAAATCCGAAACCCACACAATTTCTTGTCACGTTGCCTAGCAATGACACGACAATATATTGCAAGACTGTACTGATCTGAAAAATGCCAGTATTCTTCAAGTTAGCATAGAGAACTAGGTAATTTTACACAATCGCTTTTTGTTTCGAAAATGTTATTCGTTTGTAACGAGTTGGATGCCATTACAGGTGCGCTCTAGTCATATTTGCAGAGAAGCATTTTCTTCTTCGTTTGCACTTCTTCACTTAACAAAATAACGTAACTTGTTTAGAATCCTCCCATTACATTTATCCTGCAGTATATTATGCTGCAGAATTATCACGAGCGTGCAAGTCGATAAAGGAAAGTTGTCACCACATTTCCAAGACAATTTCTGCAGTGACTGACATAAGTTAAATTCCGCCTTTAGAGTGTTTCTTTCCTCTGCATAACTTTTGCTGTCTTCTCCGATCGTCTCCAGTTGTTTTCCCAACCTCGTCCTTCGGGTGTGTGCGTTTTAATTTTGAGTAGCATTTCTGCTGGAAATAGAATATAATTAACACTTACAGTACAATAAAGGGGATATCCTGTTTCGAAATGACATCCTGTAAATAAGGTATATAAAAATATTTATTTATTTATGGTTAATATGACGGAATTGTTGAA